GAGAGGGCCCACACAAAGAGAAAGAAAAGGTTGCCTGCTAGAAACCCAGTAATTACAGGGCTTTGGCTTTCCTGGAGGAGGATTCATACTGATTCGACATGGCTGTGGTTCACACGTACGGCTCCCTCTGGGGGCAGGCTCCTGGTTTGATTTCATTATCACCTGCCAGGGGAACTTTTGCCCCAAAATGAGTTCCCAAAAGGGGATAGTTGCACTTTTATTAGTTGCTTTGAAAGCAGTTTTGCTGTTGCCCCCAGAAGCCTCCACATTCATTTGGCCACAGGATGGGAGAGCACAAGTGCCACGAGTTGGGCTGTCAGAGCAGCCTTGTTATGGTCAAAATGTATGGAAAAACTTCTTATAGAATCCCAGACTGGTTTGGGTTGGAAGGGACCTTCAAGATCATCTTGTTCCAGCCCCCTGCCATGGGCAGGGACACCTTCCATTAGATCAGGTTGCTCCAAGCCCTGTCCAACCCGGCCTTGGACACTTCCAGGGATGGGAATCCACATCTCTCTGGTCTGTTATTGATATGCAGTCACCACCTATTTTAGCAAAATCTGGTTGAATCCTTTCAAATCTCTCCTAACCCCACACATGTGAAGACTCTGTTCTCACATTGCTTATAAAGATAAGTCAAATCTCTGTTTGTCCTTTTACAAGGCAGGTAAAACATAACTCAGGTATAAATGTGTGCAGGTTAAGTCTCGCAGGACCCAAATTTGACCTTTCTGTATTCATTCTTAAGTGTTGTGTGACTTGTTTTAGTTCAAGTTCAGCACCCAGAACATTCAGTGTCAGGACTTCTGCACAGCTCTGGGTCAAGTACCAACCCCATTTTACACCTGGGTGAAACAATGGCTCAGATTAACCAGGCCAATTTCATGCTGGAAATCTGAAAAAATAACAACCCAAACTGCCTCTTCCCTGCTCAAAAAGCATGTTAGACACCCTCTCCCCCTCCCTAGTGCATCTTTACATATTGTACACAAACCTGAAAAGGGGTCTGTTTGGGGTAATTTTACACCATTCCTCTGGGAAATGTATTTCAGAGCTGGTTTTTCATCTCCCCTGCTGATTTGCCAACAACGCTAGGACATTTGTAGGACACCTCACAGCAGCAGGGCCGATGATGAGACAGAAAACTCAACAGGAAAGATGTTTCTGCCATTAGCACATGGACCTTTAGGCAAGTTACCTCAATCCTTTGTGGTTTTATGATGTGCGCAAGACAAGAACCAGCACATCAATTCCCTGCAGTCTCAGAGGGGAGTACAGTCATTGGATGACAAATACTAAGAAACCTCCTGTCATGGACAGTGCCCCAAAATTCCAGAAGTCACTTCAATCCCTGTAAGCTCACGAACTCCACATGTACCTGTGTGCTTCCAGGTGTCCGGATCCATTAGTCTTGGAATGAATGCAAAGTGCAGAGTTGGACTGAAGTTTGGGTTTCAGGCAACTCCAATCCGCTACTAAAAAATCGTAGAATGGTTTGGGTTGGAAGGGATGTTAAAGCCCATCTCATTCCACTCCCTGCCATGGGCAGGGACACCTTCCCCTAGACCAAGGTGGAGGTCGCTTCAAGTCCTGTCCCAGCTGGCCTTGGACACTTCCAGGCATGGGGCAGCCACAGCTTCTCTGAGCAACCTGTGCCACGGCCTTACCACCCTCAAGAGGGAAGAATTTCTTCCCTCTATCCAATCTAAATCTACCCTTCTTCGGCTTAAGACCAATCCCCCTTGTCCTTTCCCTATCCTTGTAAAAAGCCCCTCTTCAGTCTTCTTCTAAAATCACTTAGGTGAGCATTGGAACTGAGTCCCAGGTTTACAGTTTGGCTCCTCGTAAAGACAGGTCCACTCACAAAACTCAGCCCCAAGCTCAGCATTTGGTTTCCAAACATGCTGAACATTGCTTTGGTTCTCTCTCTTAATTCCCATCATCTTTCTCTTCCTCTCTTTATTTACTTCTTAATTTCCCTGGGTCTTAATTTCCTGTCCCTTGAGCCCTCCTGCGCCCAATCCCTGCCTACATGAGATTGACTCCACAGCTTTTCCCTCTTCGGGGAAAGGTCAGGGATGAAGGTTGGTGTGGGGAGAAGAAAGGCAGGAGCAGACAGAGAGGGAGCTGTCATAAAGGTCTGGCTGTGAAGCCTCTCTGAGAGAATGCCACTTGGGGAGGCTGTAACAGCTTTAGTCTGCAATACAGGGGGATTAAAAGACTAGTTCTCACAGGACAAAAAGGAACGGAAGGAGCAGAACAAGGGCAGAATGAAGCTGCAAGGGGAGGAAGGGAGAAAGTTAAAGAGCTCAGCTCTAAAGAGCATCGGGGTTTAAAGAGCTCCAGTTGGAGCGTAAAAAATGTGAAGTGGCCTGCACAGAAAAGGGGCTTTGGCCAATGGCTCTGCTTTGCTTTTTCACACTAAGCACACACACTTCAGGCTGCTTCAATCAAGGTAATTTGGGATGTTTGGCTTTGTTCATTTTCAGGGGCAAAGGAGTAGGAGGGGGCAGCAGAAGGCTAATGAGGCTCCACCAGATGTGACACTCGAAAGGAACAGTGGCCATTCTGTGTTTTAAATAGCGGCTTATGGCTTTGATCCTCACCCCTCCTGTCCCTCAAACCCCCCTTCTCCTTGAGGGCCACAGAAGAGTGAAGGGGTCTGGGAACAGGAAGGAAGTATGTGGAATTGTGGAACACCCTCCTCAAGTGCTGCTTGAGCAGCCTTTTCACCCCTCCACGAGGCCTGGAGATGGAGAGTGTGACTGAAAAGGTAAGGAAAGAAGGAGACTTGAAATGCTTTCCAAAAGAAAAGAAAAAAACCCAAAACCTCAATGCATCAATTGCAGGAAATGTAAAGGCCAAAGTGCCACCAACATGGACAAGCAGCTGCACTCCAACAGGGAAACCTGACACTCCAAAACCTCTTGGAGCATTGCTCAGGTATTGCAGGAAATGGGGCTTCTTAGGGCTCGGTAACCTAAAACCAAGGACTGCTTTGCCAGATTAGCAAGGTTTGGACATGTCCAATATGCTTGTGAATAATACAGTATATTCTTCTCAAAAGACAGGAGGATTTTTCCAGTTTAGTCTTCAAAAACCTTTGAAGCAATGGCAGCAGAGGAAGGTGAGACACCACCCATGAGTCCAGAGTTCCTCCCATGAACACACGCCCGAGCCTAAGGCACTCAGAGAGTAGAGAAGCAGGTTTCCAGCAGCCACAGGACTGTAAACATGTTCTCTCATCTTTGATGTGATCCAGCTTCACAGGCTTCCAAGCCAGGAGAGATGCTTCAGGCAGTCGAATGTCTAAGGCAGGTTTTCCAGGCTATTTCAGCAGCTCAGCAGAGCTGGGGGCTGGTGGTGCTCTGTGCACAAATTCTACTCAAAGGGGAAAAAGGAAAGACTTTGTAACATAATAAGCAACTTCCAGACAGGAATTAGAGTGCAGCACATCCAGCAGAGACAGGGGCTCGAGTGGCATTAAGGTAGGAGGAATATAATTACCTGACCTGGACTGTGGCCAGGATAATGGTATTAATTTATTTCAACAAAGTCACAAGTGCCAAACCCTGGATTTTACATTTAAACCCAGATAATAGCAAATCACAGCACCCTGATTCTATTCTTCCAACTTCTGGCTGGAAGGGACAGTCTTCCTGATAGGTTTTCATCCCTAATGCCTACCTTAAGAGCTCACCCTCAGCTTCATTTGGGAAGATCAATGCCATCCCAGTAGCTATGGATCTCCAAGGCAATCCCTGCACCGTGTAGGACAGAGGAACATCTTCCCAGTCCCCACAAATCTCCTGCAGGAGGTAAAGCCACACTCGGTGTCAAATTCAGCCCCAAGTTCGATCTGGTATTAATTATCCCTGCTCTGATGAGATAAATGCTTAATCCTCTGGCTGTTGACACTGGAAATGGCCCAATCCACCCTGGGGTGGATATTATCCCAGGGAACTAGGCTTCAGCCACGATCATGTGCCATACAAATGTTCACTAGCTTGCAGGGAATGGATTCCATGGGGTGAACAGGATCCTTCTGTGGCACAGCTAATCCACAATAATACATGACCCAAGCATTGATTGTATCAGGTTTTTCTTCCTCCATTTTTTTCCTTCAACATAATATTTCAAATTTCACATGGAATTTCTCCTTTTCAGACATTCCCTACCTCCTTAGAGCTTACCAGCTTTCCTGCTCCAAAGGGAACTTCCCAAGCTCCACTGCCCAAGGGATGTGGAGATGGGTCTGCACAATCCCTGCTTCTCTGGGAGTCTTTCTCTGTCTTCCAGGAGAAAGGCAATAGATCTCCACATGGCTTCCCTGGTTTCACATTCCCTGGCAAGGCTAAACCAAGGAGTTTGTGTTGCAGGGAGAAAGCAGAAATGCTGATGCTGCCAGAGGTGGGACACTGTCCTGATTCCTGATGAAGCTGTTAAGGACTGTGGTCTTTCCCATGTCTGAGCATGTGTGTGCCAGGAAGGAAAACCACTGTGTGCCAGGAAGAAAAACCACTGTCCCACACCCACTGTCACCTGTCCTGCATTTTGTGACACCTGGGAGATGCTTGTCCCCACCTTCCCACTGCCACCCAGCCTTTCTGGCTTCTCCCCTACTTGCTCTTCTCTTCACAAGGGCTGCCTTAGAGACAGTTGCTGATCAAAGGCAAATTTCAAACCCAGACAAAGAAATAAGTTTGAAATAAAATATCACTGCACACAGGTACTTGGGAGTGCAGGTTTGCTTCCCATTCAACAACAAAACAGGTTTTCAAGACAATTCTACACAGATTCAAACAGCAGCACCATAAACAGCTGATAGGAAGGGTTGAATACAGGAAATACAATGGGGAGTCAGTGCATGGTGGGACTTTTCCCCCTATAGACACTCTTAAATAACCAAGCTTTGTCTCTGGACTTTTGCCTTTGCCATCGTTGTGCTCAATTTAATCCCAAAATTACAGTAAGGCAAAGAACTAGCAGGAGAAAAAAGCTGATCTTTTTACTGGATTTTTTTATTCCTTAACAACAAGATCCAGAGAGGGGCTATTTGCTCCTGGGCAACTTCACCTCAGCTGTGAGACCAGACCAAGGAGGGAATGGGAGATTGAAGCCCAGCCAGTGAGAGCATGAGAAAGGGCTCAGCCTAAACGAGACAAGAAAGGGGGTTCTGGAGATTAAAACAAAGATCTTGCAATCCAAACTCCTAGGTCTGTTTCCAACTCCAATACTGACTTCAAAGTGCATGTAAGTAAATCTACTTCATCTCTCTCTACCCCAGCTCCTCCCATGTAAATAAACGCAGAGGGGGATGTTGCTGCTGGTACAACCCCAAATCATGGCTACACCATCCCAGCAAAGCATCAGCTCCCAAACTGGCAGTACCCATAAATTATTTCCTGAATGTTCAGTCATTTGCATAATTGCAGAGATGAGGTTTAACGGCAGGGATAACTTGGGCTTCCTGGCAAAGGGGAAGCATCAGCTCATTCTTCCAGTGCCATATCCAGTGTGTGTAAGGACTGTGCTAGACTTTTGCCCTGACCTGGAGCTGGCAGTGCATAATTTACAGTCCTTAATTTAATCCTTAATATTATCCCTAATTAATGACAGACCAGGGTCCTGGAACTCCAAACCATACAATTAATTAGGAAGCAATAGCAAACAAGCACAACAAGAGCATCTGGGAAGGCACCAAGCACAACAGGGCTCTGCTGCATCATCCCTGGCCAATGGCTCCTGTTCCCACTCCTGACAGCTGGTGCAGTAAATGGAAGCAACAGAGAAAGAAGGGAAACGAGCCTAGCAGTGAAAGACAGGGTGAAGCAGCTGCTCTCCAAGTAGGTATTTGAGGATATATTTGAGCCCTCCTTCCCAATAATCTCTGCTTTGGGACTATCCCAAAGCATTCTCCAACTCTTTGCCTAATACACTTTACACCTCCCTCCTTTTCCAAGCAAGTGGCCAATCTACCATCTCCAAAGTGTTACTGCTGAGAAACGGCTCTGATAAAGTGATGCAAAACTGCTTTGCTTCATTATATTGGATTTTGCCTAATCTTGCCATGTCCTTAGAGCTCCCTAAAAATATATTTGCAGACAGCAAGCCAATCCCTTCCTGTATTTTCACAAAACGCACAGAAGCAGGAAGCAGCTCACACTGCTGTGGGTCCATTATTAAGCAGCTCTTCTGGGAAGAGCAGAACAGGCACACTGGAGTTGCATTGCCTTCCCTCCAAATGTGCCATGGAGCATACAGCTCCAAGGAACAGCAGGCAGTCTCTTCCCACCTGATACTCCATGATTCTATGAGATGAAACGCCTCATGTAGTACTGTAACAGACAGTAGCTGTGATCCTGCATGATTCCCTCTCCTTTGATCGGTAGAGAATGCCTTGATCAGCCACAGATCATATTTCTCCCAGAAATACACCAAAAAAGGTCATCAATCCAGTCTGTTGGTGCATTTCTGTCCTTTTGTACTGAGACCTGAGCAGCATTAGCTCACAAACCACTCAAGTCTTGGACAACCTGGGGAAGCAGCTGCCAAATCCATGTCCATTCTGTGCCAGGTAGGACATGGTGATCTGACGAGCTTCCCAGAGCCCTCTGCACAGAACTATTGCACAGGAAACCAAAGCAGGTGACACACAATCAACACCAGAGCTCAGCTGGTACTCTCAAGCCCTTTGCTGTGATCTGACCCACTGGCTGTTCATCCCGGACTCCAACATGTTCCCTCCTCTTCCAGAGCTTCCCGTGACAAGCACTTTTGTGTGGGAGCTGATTTCCTTGCTGTGTCACACATGGGTCAATTTCTTTCCTCCTGTGCCTTCCAGGTGACAGCCCCAGGGACTAAAAGGTGACTCAGAAAGGGAATCCTACAGTCTAGCCAAGCTGCCATTCCTCCTTAGCCTGAGGAGAGTTCTCTTTCCCAGGATCACAGTCCACCTGCATCCTACTGATCAGGCAGATGATGAAGAACTAGACCATGTCAGAGCAGTGGCAGTGGGAAGCAGCTGATCTTTGTCACTAAGGCAGGACAGCAGCTTTGATTCCTGCACTGCTCTCACCTCCCAGGTATTTGGGCAGCTGGACACCGACTCAGGACTATCACCACATCTCCACACTCCATTCCCTCCCCATCTTCCTTCTAGTAACACCAACTGGGCATTGCAGGCACAAGGCAGGATGATTAGAGAGCAGGGACAGCATTTCCCCTCCCTTCACCTTCCTGCAGGAACAACAAGATCCCATCACATCAAGTCTCTCTGTGCCAGTGCTAGATGAAGCCTGATGCCACAAAAGCAAATCTTATGTGCTATCTCTGCCTTCAGATGTTACAGTTGTTCAGAAATATGGGGCAAGACTATAGGGTTTGTGAGCAGTAGCCTGAATATCCTTCTCCAACTGCTCAGGCATCTTCATTCCAGGCTCTCCATCAGGTCAGCAATGGAACAGATACACAGTAGATGTTCAGTCCCTGACACTGGGTTTAATCCACCACCTGGCCGGAAGAGAGAAGCCTGGAAGTAGCTTCCTTTAGCACTGGCTGGAAATATTCTGTACAAGAAGCTCCCAGACATGGTTAGTAAACACTGAAAATCAAATCACTCCGTGCCTGTGGCTGCTTCTCTCCCCCACTGCTGGCTCAACCAGTCCTAGCTAAAGTGCTTTGTCCAGTCCACCACAGGCAGATGGTGCCGCAGCTGCAGCCTTGGGCTCCTCACTGGAGCCCTTCAGGACCAAGAACTCCAGTAGAATGTCCAAGAGGCAGAAAACCAGGTGCCTGAAAGAGAGAGAAGACAAAGCTTAGGCTGGTCAGGGCACCGGAGGCAGAGCTCACATGAGGAAGGTGTGTTCTGACTGCCATCAGGGTAAAGAGGAATGATCTCAGACCCTGGAAGAAATGTTTTAAAGGATGATTCAGCTTTTATTCCACCTCCCCCAAACCAGCAGGTGTTGAAGCTGCTGAGCAGCACAGAAAACACAAACACACCTCCTGGAGGGAGGTGGCACATGTGTTTCACAGGATCACTGAGGTTGGAAAAGACCTCTGGGATCATCGAGTCCAACCTTTGACTGAACACCACCTTGAGCACTGAGTGCCATGTCCAGTCATTTCCTAAACCAGGAATGGGGACTTCAGCACATCCCCAGCCAGCCCCTTCCAATGTTTAACAACCCATTCAGTGAAGAAATTCCTCCTGATGTCCAGTCTGACCCTCATTTCTCTGCAGTCCATTACCAAACCCTTGCTTTCCAAACTCATAGTGCTGGGCATAGACAAAAATACCCCCCTACATGGATCTGCAGCTCCTCCAAAAACAAACTAAACTAGGATTTGTCTTACTTCCCTGACATCCCCTAACTAAGCAGGCCCAACAACATAATTAATGACTCAATAACCTCCAGCCAGACCAAGGTCCTGGACACACACCCTCATCACAAACAAGCCAGATGCCCTCTAACACTGCAAGTCTGGGATAATGAGCCGGATAAGCTTCACGCCAAGCAGCTGGAAGCAGGAATTGCATGGCAAAGCCCTGAGCACAGCTCACAGATCCCATCAGAGGCCATCAGGGTAAAGACTAAAATCCACATACCTGTTTATCACAGGCTGGCTCAGGGACTCCTGCACCAGGTTCCAACTCATCCGACACTTGCTGGTCCCAAGGATTTCTTGGATCACATCTGTAAACAGACAGTGCTTTAGGAACTGCACATTTCCACAGGTCAGTTTTCTCCCGGTGGGTGCTAAATTGCAGCTTGTGATGGTGCTCTGAGCTCGAGGCATCTCATGCCCAGCATCACCATGACAGGGAACACCCAGGGACAGGACAGACTGCCAGGAAAGGGTTCCAGGCTGGAAGGGCACATACTGGCAGAGCTTTTTGATTACCAAAGGATAGTGAGGGCCCCTTACACTGCAGCAAGAAGTTAAAAGTTCAGACTGCACTCACATGGATTAGCCAGCAGGTGCTTTAATGCCTAAGGTCCCCAAGTCAAACTTCAAGAGAGGGAAATCCAGTGCAGCTGGGCTCAGGATTTCAGTCCAGTGGAAAAGCCGCAGGCTTTGCCTAGTGACTCTTCTCTGCCATGGGACCCTTTGGCAGCAGGTGGGAGCACAGTGTGCCTCTGGTTTTCCTAAGCCCTGCCTTCAGTGAGGTGGCTTGGCAGGAACTGCATCACCACTCTAAGCATGGAATTGCGGCCAGTCTCCATGTGGGAATCACCAAGACACCCATCCTTCCTCTCCGAGCTGTGCTGCTCCCCAAATACTTACGCAAACTATCCAGAACCGGGAAACTGATTTTTGCTTGCAGGAAACCATTCAAACTTCAAGGGTCATGAACCTTTCCTAGTGCCTTGGCACAAGCAAACTCCATCTCAGTGTTTAACCACATTTCCACAGATTCCAGTGCACTGGAGGGTTCTCCAGCCACTTTTCTTTCCCAAGGGCAACTGACAAGTCCCTGGGACACACTTACTAGGCAAAATCCCCATGAGGCTCTGCAGGGCCTGATCTGCTGTTGCCTTCTTCTGCTCCTCTGTCCTGGGGGGTTTAGGCACTGCTGGTAAAACTCCTCCGGGCCAGATGGATTCCTGGAGCAACTGGAGGTACTGGACCCAACGCTGGGTGCAGGTCAGGTTAAACATCTGCACTTCCAGCCACCTGTGAGCACAGGGAGACAGAGAAAGGTTAGGAAAAGTCAGGCTTGGGACCAAGTCAGGCTATTTCTGCCCATCAGGGGCCCTGGAAGGGTTAAATCAGCTTGCTGCGTTCGCTAACATGCGGTTTTCAAGTCTGCACAGCAAATATTTTCTTAAGTATTAATCAGTTGAGTTTCCCATGCACCAGAAGTAGGATATGATCCCTTTGTTATGGACAAACACGTGTGTAAAGTCACAGGGGAAAAGCGAAGGCCATAAAAAGCTCCATCATCCTGCTAATCACAGGAATTCAAGTGAATCACTGATTCCTAACTGGCCTGAAGCTCATCAGTTATCTCCATGCACAAGCCAATACAGAGATGGAAAAACTGGTGTTTTAACTAAAAACAACACCCAGGAAAGACTGGAAGGACATAAGCATGTTCTGGCAGCCACTGTTCCTCTCATCAGTCCCTCTGCCACCAAGACAGTCAAGGATGTCTTGCCTGGAGACCAAAACAAGGTCCAAGGATGGCAAGTCATGAATATCCTACTGCTTTGCTCTCCTCTTGGCCCTCTGCTTTCCTACTCTTCACACCTGCTCCATCTACTGATGGCAAGCAATGGAATCATAGAATCACAGAATGGTTTAGTTTCGGGACCTTAAAGACCATCTTGTTCCACCCCCAGCCATGGGCAGGGACACCTTCCACTAAACCACATTCCTCCAAGCCCAACCTGGCCTTGAACACTTCCAGGGATGGGGCAGTCATAGCTTCTGGGAGCAACCTGTGCCAGGGTCTCACCACCCTTATAGTAAAGAATTTTTTCGTTCTCATCCAAAATCCAACAGAATTGCTGGTGGGCCCTCCTGCTGGGTCAGGACTGTGTCCTTTATACACTAACAACCTGCAGACCCTGAAATGCTGCTCCACAAAATAGGTTGGAGGCATTTGCAGCTGCACCGGGTTTGTCCCCACCAGACAAGTGCTGGGAGAGTTTCTAAATCAACCATATGGACCCTCTTTCCTGGACGTGAAATCCCTTCCAATGTAACAGCAAAAGCCAGAGCTGTCAGTCAGAACCTGCCACTGCCTGAAATCTTTCCTCTCAGAATTAGGAGAGGCTATGGATGAATCCCTGATACCACAGGGTTTCCCTGTGGTCCCCTGGTTTAGCAGGATTTGGCGATGAGGGCCCAGTGCCACTGTCCTTGTCGGCAGGAGGCTTTGGAGCAAAGACGGGAATACCGGCACAGTGCTGGGGTAGGGAAAAGGCTTGTGATTTTGCCAGTACTTCAAGATTTCCAGAGCAGAGGAGTTGGCCAGCAGGGCCAGGAGACCCATTCCTCTTGGCAGCTGGTGTTCATGCTTGCAATTCTGTCACCACTATTCCCCAGCAGCTCCCAGTCCATTCAAGAGCACAGGTCCTGCCAAGGCAAACTTTATTTAACCTGCGCTCTGCCAGACTGTCTGCATTCTTCCCAGGCGAGCCATTCAGGCCAAGGGTGTCTTTACTTGGGCTAATGTGAGTGGAGAGTCGGGAATAGCAGCACCTAAAGGTAACCAGGGCAAAGGAAGCAGGTTGTCATCAGGGACAGTGCGGCAACGTGACGTTCCCTTCGTCAGCAGGAAATGAGGTGCCAAGCTGCAAGTCTTGAGGGACGAACACCCAAGAAATGTCCATTAAAAATCTGAAAAGGAGCCTTGGTGCAGCAGGAAGGCCTGGTATTCTCAGATTAAGGTCCTACTGGAGCATGGGCAATGATTCCGGTAATCCCACTAATGGGAAGACACATTCTTTATGCTCAGCCTCACCAGGGACCACACATACTGATGTTGCTACAAGATAATGCCAGAGATCTGAAGCTTCCACCTGTCTTAAAGGACGAAGTGTCCCAGTCCTGCCTGGGAAAGGCCATGTTGGAAATACAATTAAAATTGTTTTAATCTCCAGCCATCAGCAGATTTTAACACTCTGGATCGTGTTAAGCCCTCCAGCCATTCCTAACCAAATCAAAGTGTTAAACTGCAACTTTCCCAAGGCCAAGAGCTTTCATTAACATAGTTTTTTATTAACATGTTTTTCTACACAGCCTGCTTTCCTGGCTGAGAAAACATGTGACAAGCAACAGAAATTCAGAGCCTTGGGGAGAGAGCTGCAAACAACCTGCACCAAGGAGATCAGATTGAACATTGACTTGAACCTCAATACAGCAATAGCCACTTTCCAGCGTTAAAAAGGTTGCAGAATGCAAAGAATGAGCTTTCTTTTCCTTAGAAACATTCCTAAAACGGCAAAAAATCAAGAAAACACTGAGCAGAGAGAAAGCTGAACCTAAAGACAGCACATGTTTCCAGACAGCTCAAGGGCAAGCTGAGAACTGATAAATGCTGGAAGGTCCCACACAAACAACATCACATTTTCAGCCCATTTATTTCCATAAAACCACCACAATTAGGCATCGAGACCTATAAGTAACGCCAATAAATCTCATCATATGTGCACATACTGTGATTAGGTGAGTGCTCACAGGTCTTGCATCCCACAGTTGTGAAACACCATTGATGGATTTTCTTCCTTAGTCTGGCAGCTCACTGCCTTCCACTTTGGGAAGCAAAGGGCAGGATCTGGGAATGGCTCCATGGGTCTTGCACCAATAAATGCCACAGCTCCATGCAAGTTCCTGAGAAGAGGTCAACTTGCCCCATCACATGGTGCTCAGACAACTGACGAAGAATCACCCAAACACACAAGTATACAATAAAAGAAGGAATTAAACAGGAAAAGGGACAAGAAAGAAGGAGAAAACAAAGCTGGGTGCACATGACACAAAGACTAACGCAACTCTGCTCTGGGTCCCCTTTTGCTAGTCTACCAGGGTGTGGAGCCATTCCAAAAGAACCGGGAGGAGAACTGTCCAGACTGGTCCATCTGGCTCTAAATCCTCCCTGGGAGAGCAGTTGATGCTCTCAGATACTTCAAAAGAAAATATACAAACCTGCCACAAAGAGTTTTCCAACCTCTGCTCAACCTGAATGTGTTAAAGTCACCACTGACACCCATTTGGAGGGAATAACATTTCATTTGCACAACATGCACAGGGGGAGCACCAGGAGCATTTAAACTGTGAGAAGCAAAATAATTCACAGAATCACGGAATATCATGAATTGCAAGGGACCCACAAGGATCATCAAGTCCAGCTCCTGGCCTTGCACAGGATACTCCAAGAATCCCACCTCAACTCCCACTATTGTTGTTGCAGCTCAGGGAGGGTCACACAAATGTTATTGAAAATTCCTACCTGAGTAAACCCCAGAAAATGGCAAACTGATTTTTCCACCAGGCAGACTTGCTGCACCAGGATGGGGATTAACAGCACAGGAACTCCAAAGATTTACTGGTTCAAAGCTGACCTTTGCCAGCAGGTCACAGATGATTTTTTGTGCTGTTAAAGGCCTGAGCATTTGAGATCCATGTGCCACATTGAAAGCACACACATGCTGATCCCAGGTAGAAATAAATCCACCAAGAAACACAAATAGACCTATCTTTTTTTATTTTTGGGTGGCTGATGGGTTACTATTTCCATTCTGCTATTTCATGAAGAAATAGCCTTAATAAGAAAGACAGAAAAAACACACCTATCACTGAGTCATCTCCTTACACTTCAGCTGAGACCAGAAATAGATAAAGTGACCTCCTGGGCTCAGACATTTGAATGCTTTGATAATGCCCAGTGCAAAGAGACAGATTCCAAAGGCTATGGGGTCCTGGAAGATAATCTGGAGGTGCATAACTTGCCCATGTTGTAAGGGACCTCTGTTGGAAATAGCTGCTGGTGGGGGAATGAAATGGTTGCTAAAAAAGAGCCAAATTAATGCCGTGGCTTAAGATGGAACTCCAAAGTCAGCTGAAGGGATCCATTAAGACTGGAACACTGGAATGAAAAACAAGGCCTGGCGGGGACAGACCTGGGCCTTCCTTCAGCACCTTGATGCAACAAAGGCTGCTAAGAAGGAGCAGCCTATGGAAAAGGCAGACTGGGAGTCAGGGACAGGCAAGACATGGCATCTGGGATCAGTTTTACCTGGCTGGATGCACTCACTGAAGTGGACTATCCAGATGGTTCACCTGCAGATGGAGGGAGCTCAGCAAAGAAAGGTTGGATAGGTTGGATTTGCTTAGTCTGAAAAATAAAGATGGACCAGGAATGGCCAAAGACATACAGTACTCCAAATTTACTAGAAGCTGGTCAAACTCTGCTTTTCTCATCCATCAAGGTGAGGATAAGAACTGAGATCACTTGAGCGAAGGAACAGTGAAGTCAAATTTGCTGATTATAATTAAAATCTGAAGCTATAGCAATTATGATTTCCCCGAAACTGGGGATTTTAAGGATTTAGACAAACACAAACTGGAGACCACATTAGGAAGAAGATAAAATGAGAGAGCCCCTCTGCATTAGCTGTATAAATACAAACAGCTCCATAAATATACATGAGTTGAGTGTAAGAGTAGGAAGTCCTGCTCAACATTGACCACCTTCCACCCCAGAACAAGGCCCCCCCCTTTCCCTGAGGAATTCAGCATGGCTATCCAGGAGCTCAAAAAAGGTCCATGAGAGTAAGGTAGTGAAAACGATTGAAGAAAAAGACAACATCTGGAAACCACAAGTCATGCAAACATGACTCTTCCTGAAATCAAGAAAGGTTGGTGCTTAAATCACCAGACCAAATCGCAGAATATCCAAATTCTTCCCCAAACTGTGCCTTGAACCACAAGAATATCCTTGACTCAAGAGGAGCAACATTTCAATGCTGTGACTGCAAAACCTTTCTGAGCAAAGCCTGTAAAAATGAAGCAGCAGCTGCAGTGGGCACAGTTAAAATTGAGAAACATAAATGGAGACTTTTTGCCCCCAGGCTCAGCTTTGAGCACCTGCTACCTGAGCCTAAATACACCTTCTCCAGACAGCCACAAGCAGAGATGTGCAGCAGGCTCAGCTCAACACCTTCAAA